GAGAGAGAGAGAGAGAGAGAGAGAGAGGACGAAAGAGGCAAATAAGGATGCAAGAGGCAAATAAGGATGCAAGAGGCAAATAAGGATGCAAGAGGCAAAGAAGGATAGATAGTGAAAAGAGACGAACGGAACGAGGATAGGGAAATTGTTGAAGACAGAGAGACAGGGGTAGAAGGGTTAAAGGAAATAAGAAGGTTAAAGGGGAAGGTTGAAAAGGTAGGAAACGTGTACAAGGATGAATGGTGAGATCGACGATCGAGAAGATAGAGAAAGAAATTAGATAGAAAAAGGAAATAAAATGGTGATGTAGAGTGAAAAGATTCGAAAATGAATCAGTGAAATGATGGGTAGAAAATAGAGATAAAAAAAATCCTGTTCCTTGCTAATCACTGTCAGGATATTTTATTCAAGAGGACAGATCGAGGGAAAAAAGAATGAAGGATGAACGATAAAATTCAAAAGTTAAAGAGACGAATAGAAAAAAATAGAGAAAAAATGTTCAAAAAAGAAAAAGAAAAATAGAACGAAAAATAAAAGGAATAAGGGGTTTTAACAATAGAAGAAATAAAAAGTTAAAAAATTTTACAATAGAATAAACGAAAAAAAAGAGTATAAAAAGATAAAGAAACATAGAGAGTAAAATAAAATGAGAAGATAAGAAAATTAGAAGCAAAATAAAATAGCAAAAAAAGAAGAAAATAAGAGATGATTACAGAAAAAGATCGAAGAGATACAAGAAAATGAAATCGAAAAGAAAATAGATAGCCAAGAAGACGAAAAAATAAAATTAAATAAAAAGAAAAAAATAAGATAAAGAGCATAAAAAGCAATAGAAAAAAAAAGATATCGAAAGTTGGAGATATCGATAAACAAGATACGGAAAGAATTTTTTAAGATGTCGAAACTAAAATCCCTATTCCTCGCTGGTAAAAATCAAAGAAAGAGAGAATAGAAGATAGACGACGAAATGCAAAAGAAGGATAGAGATCGAAAGCAGACAAAAAAAGAAGAATAAGAGAGACAAAAAGAGGGGTAAAGCGACCAAAGGAAGGGGTGACTAGAGGAGAAGGCAGGAAACGTACACGAAAATATGAACGGTGAGATGAAAATAGATCGACAGAAAATAGATCGAAGAGATAAATAATTAGATAAAAAAAAAGAAACTGGAGAAAGTGAATAAATGATAAAAAAAAATGATACAAAGAGAAAATGCTTGGATGAACAAACGAATGAAAAAGAAGAAAGACACCGAAAGTTAACGAGAAGCAAGATGAAGAAGGAGCAAGATAAGAGGGGAACAGAGGAAGGGAGAAGACTCCTGGTTGCTGGCAGATCGATAGAACGGAGCTGCGTAATACATATATACTCGGTTTTCCACACGAGAAACCGATAGACGCGTTGGAACGCCATGAATGAGATACGTGGTTACGTGATGAACACGCTTCGAGGAAATTATACGTACACAAGTAAGTGCATATAGGAGGCTGTCGTTGCGATTCAAAGAGCCGCCCCACCACTGTTTTTATTCCGGTGCCGAACATAAAATGAGTTTTATGGCTTGGGAACGTAATCCGCCAACAAATTCATACTGAAAACTGTTGCATTTTCAAGTCCAAATAACTTCTGACGTCACGCTCTATGTATACATTAAATTATTACTTGTCTCACCGCGAAATCGTGTAATAATAATAAAATATGTTACTCTTTAATGATTTTTCAAACATAGCGAGGCAACTTCGATTATTTTTATTTTCCATCGAGTTTCGCGTTTTATAGGTTTGCCCGTAAATTTCTTACCACTAACTGATAACAAGTGTGCCACGCAGAATGGTCTGTGAAAACATACATACATTTGATCGAAACATTATTTCGAATAATGGGAACATTTCGCTTCGAGATTTAACGTGTTTCAAATAATTAAATAAACTTTTTAAAATAATTAATTATCAATTTTTTTTGATAAAATAATTATCAATATATAATAATTTAATAATGCTACAATTGAATGAAGCCAAATATAAAATTTGATCACAAATATTTTATTTTTTTTTATTTTTTATCATACATTAAATTTTTCATTATTTCTATGAAACTATTATTTCTTATTAAGTTATTATTAAAAATATTTGTAACTTTTTTAGAATCATATATTTTTATAAAAAAAATAGAATAATAATAAAATATATTTTTTTCTTAATATATGTAACATAAATAAATAAATATTTTAAAAATTAAATTTTTTAAATTTTCTAAATTATATTTCTTTTGCATCATTTGAAATAAATTTATTTTCATATTTATAACATTTTAGAAATTATAATAAATATAATTTATCACGTATCATTAAATGAAGAATTATTTGTATGCGAACTTATATTTTAATATTTAATTAATTTAATCACAAGTATATGTATATATATATATATCCTTAATATAATATTTAATATATTAGATATTAAATTATTACTAAGATATCATTATTTCTAACATAAACACTAAAAATTTTAAATTGTTTAAAATATAATATAAATAAAAAAATATTTTAATTTCTGTTATGGAATTATTATTATTTTTATATATTAATATCTTATCGATTAGTTATTTTTATCTTAATAGTTTTTATTTGTTTTAAATATTAAAGTTTGATTAATTCCATATTTAATGATTCAAACAATTATATATCTACTACCCGCATTATATACCTGATTAAAATTATAAGATAAATCAATATGAACTGATAACGACACTGATTCAGTATAGATTCAGTCAATCATTCCTATTTTATTAGGAAAACGCAAATATATATTTGACGTAATATAGGTGTAACAATATGCAGTAAGGATTGAAGGCTATAGATACTTCAGATATGACGCACCTATACAGTGGCACAAAAATAAACTCCTTGGATAGAGGCTACAATCAATGACGTCACATTCGGTCAGAGTTCATCGGTCAGTGACTTCTGTTCGTTCCAATCACCTGGCAGCAATGACAAAAGATTTGTTGTGAAATAATATTTCAACTATACAATCCTTCGTTGAGAACAATTCCGTAACATGCTTAGCAGATCAACGATTCAACCAAGCGATAGTGCACACGAAAATCAAGTTAATCCATATATTGAGCACTATACAATTACACAAGAAACATATATACACATATACACACGTCACTCGTAAACTACCGAATCTCTCTCAATTATTCTAATCCTATTCTCTTTATCGCACTAATTGCCGCATCAATACCATTGTTTTAGACAATCGCTTTACACAATACATAATCGATTTTCTTCAATTATTAGCACATTGATCACTTGAATCAATCACACAATCACATTTCACGTGTATATTAATATTCATTACTGATTAGAATTTGATTTTGAAGAAACTATTTTGAATGATCAAAAAATCAAAAAATGCGCGCGATGATATTCAGATATATTCAGGTGGGAAAATGTTATCGATCATGAAATTGTCTAGACAGATGAAATAAAACTGAAAAATGAAACACGGCGAAAAATGTGAGGTTCATCTACTTACTTACTTGCTATCGGCGTTCCCTAGCTGACAAGATGATGACGTTTCGTCGCTGTCATTGTCATCAACCTCTTCTGAAAGGGGTTGTGCTGCGGCATGGCTCCTGTCGCCGGTCTCCAGGTCAGCGACGAGAGTGTACATCGACGATATTTAAATAAATGCAGAATGTCGTTTTCTTAACGACATTGTTGTCGAATTTGTAATCGATGTACGAATCACTTTCCGCGTATTGTCCCTCGCGTTATACAATAGAAAAGTAATTCGCCGAGTCCACGAAGTGGGCCAATTTCGTTCACAAACCCCTTGTACACTCGATCGCAAGTAGCGCCCTCCCGCCACTAAACTGACTGATTGTGTACAAATATACGCTGGTGGCACCACCTTGTGCTCAAATAACGAAAACTCGTAATGTCATTGATGATCGATTCATAGATTAGTTGTATGATCATGTGAAAAAACATTTTCATCTAAAAGATTGATTAATAATTAATGACATAGCAATTTAATAAATATATTATATATTTTATTCATATTATAAAATTGATTTTCTTTATTTAATTTTATAAAAATAACAAAAATTTAAATATGAATAAAACAATATGTATTTATGTATATAATTACAATATTTATAATATTTATAATATATATGAATATTTATAATTATTTTTAATGAATTAAATATACATAGATATTATTCAATATAATATACATAGATTAAATATACATAGATCTCTCAACAATATAACAAGAATATCAATAATCATATCCATTCTGATTCAATATTTGCAAAAATTTATCGATATTGAAGAAATATTTTTATAAAAATGTTTGATATAAAAAAATAATTAATAATAAACATCAATAAAATCATTATTAATATTAGCAATGATCTTAACGATGCATATTATCCATATGCAAATACATAATCGTATAAATCGTATATAATTGCTGTTAATCCTCATTAAATATAAAAAGTTAGCACACATAATTAAAAATTCAATCAAATTTTATAAAATGTAATTCTATATATCGATTATAATGCTATCATTATAAAAATGAATAAAAAAAAATTTTAAATAAAAAATAAATTAAAAAATTTTACTTATTAAAGTTTATAAATCCTTATATTTGGTAGAACTAATCTATCATTTGGATATTTATTTTATTTGTATCATAGTATATTGGAAAATTTTCTTTTATCAAGTTAATCAATCAAAAATTCATTAAAGTTAATATTCAAAAAAAAAAAATTGTTATCGAAAGTGAAAGAAAAATGATACATATATATATATATATATATATATATATGTTTCGGTGGGATTAGACACAACATGTAACTACATGTTTAGAATGGCGCAGCGACCTCCACTGTTCACAGGCAAAGAAAATAATCGTTGCTCCAGTTGGATGTGCGCCAGCAAATGTAGCTCCTTTTTAAGTTTGTCCTTCAAACGTAGCCTTGACTTTCAGGTTACATATGTATACTTCTAGTCAGTACCTTGCACCTGTCTTCTAAGATACTGTAATTGGAACATCTAGATATAGTTGTTGCATTTGTTCATATCTGTTACCTAAAAATACTTATGAAAATAAATCGATAAATTCTGGTTAAATTTTGTCTTCAAATAAGAAATTTTAATAACCATAGAAAATTCAGATGTATTTATTTAGCAAACAATTTGTAAAATTTTTAATGATAAATATTACAATATTGATAATTTTCGTAAAATTGATGCATAAATAATTTTTTTTCATCATATATATTATTTTCAAATTATAATTGTAATTCAAAAAAATGGCTGTCTATATAAAGTATAAAATTTCGAAATTGATATTATCAGTATTTTGCTTTTAATAAATATTTAATTTAAAGATGTGTAGATATAATACTATATATGTATAAATTTTAAAGAATAAATACAACATTCTTAAAATACATCTATTCAAAAAATATCGTGCATTAATTGCATTACAAATTTCATTAAATTGTACGTTGATATTTAATTTAAAATGTTTTTATTCGAAAGTTTAAATACTGTTATATAAAGCTTAAATACTTTACGTAATATTTCATAAAAATTCAATATAAAAATATCATAATTATTCTCTTCATGTAATATCATAATCATTTAATCATTTTATTATAATAATTTTATAAATTCACCTTTTTTAAATATATTAATTTCATTTTTTTTAAAATTGATCATTTTTAAACATATTTTTATGATTTATGAATAATTTTGCTATAAAACTTTTCATTTATCAGTAAAATGTATTAAATTATTCTGATATTTTAGTAATATAATAAATATATAATCAAATACTTAAGATTAATTATTAAATCATTGTGCCTCATAAGTGCCTCATACATGGATGAAATATATTAATCATTATTATCGAATAACTATTATTGTTAGAAATGACATTAATACTTTCTCTGTTTACATTTCACAAATCGATTAAAATATA